GTAAACAGGGTTATAAATAGTAATAATAATTAAATTAGTTAACAACTGTAGTTATAACAAGTCACTATCTTCATTCATTTAGTTTGTAAAACAGGAAAAATAATAACAATAAAAAAGAAAAGAAAATAATTGATTGTAAAGCATAAAACTGTTTATTAACCAGCTTCCTATATTATTCATGTTTACAATTTCCTTCAAATTTTATACTTGTTTACTAATTGGCTGACTGACTAACTGACTAATTACTTACTTAGTTACTTAGGCCTGTTACCCCTTGTGAAAGAGCATAGGCCATCGACTAGTGTTCTCTATCAAACTCTGGCCTAAACAATCCTTTCTCGTTGTTGCTTCCAATTACTTTTCATCATTTTCATGTCTGCTTTTCATTCCTGACACAGTGTGTGTTCTTTGGTCTTCCTCTGTATCATTTCCTTTTAGAATTTCAGGTTACTGTTTGCTTCGTGATGCCTGTTAATGATTTCTTTAATGTATGTACTATCTACTTCCAATGTCTTTTCGTAATTTCTTCTTTAGCTGAAAGATAGTTTGTTCTCTTCCACAGTAGGCTGCTCTTGATAGTATCTGGTCAACGAACATTGAATATCTTGTATAGACAATTGTAGAGGTTGTAGTAAATTTAATATTAGTATAAGGTTGTGGAGATTGTTGATTTTCAAGTTGATATTATAAATGGATCAATGTTAGACCACCCTAGAGAATCTGGAAGCACTAGTCGACTGTTCCGTCCTAGTATGAGACTCTTCACCAGTGAGTATTCACGATTCTACACTGGAGACTCGAACCCAGGATCTAAGGTCACGCATGCGAATGCTTAACGTCTAGATCATTAAAACCGGCATTCAAAAGTGTTAATGTCTAACTCCAACTCATCCACGATATTGTACGATCATCCATCAGTGTCTACAGTGAGTAACTGCTTTCACAACAGACATGGTTGTATATTTCATAAATTAACCCTATTGGTGTTACTCATTTCTATTGAGAGATATATTATACAGTACAAAATAATATTACCCATCTATCTTTGCATTCATCTTTATATGACTATAACTGTACACATACATGCATACATACATTGAACAATGATGAATCATTGCCAAGTTCTTCTTTAATTCCCATATCATGTAACACTAAACACTTCAATTCATAAAATCTAACCATTCAACATTAAACTTCAATAGAATAATCTTAACATAGTTCCCTTCACTTCTTTCCCTCTTCTTCTAATCTAACTTACAGAATTGGAATTGTTTAATGTTTAATGATTTTCTTTTATTCAAATAATCCACCTGGTGATAAGTGTTATTGTGTTATTGTATCTGACCTTAAGTCAAATCATGGTTACTATCTTGTTTAAATTCTTTCGTATGTCTAGAATAATTTAGAAAGCATAAAAATTGATAATATTCAACTGTTGAAATTACTACAATCTCCACAAAACCCCTTCTGATACTAATCAACATATGCTCACTAGTGACTCGCTTCAAGATATATATCCTGGAGTTCTAGTGAGAAGCAGTGACCAGTGGAGTTCAGCTGGGTCATTCACGAGGTAGTAACTCGCTGATGACAATGGTGGATGTGTAGCTCAATTTCGTGGATTATTTGAAGTTAGACATTAACACCGTTGGATACCGGCACAGTGGTCTAGTTGGCTAAGCGCCTGACGCGAGACTGGTAGACCCTGGATTCGAATCCCGCGGGGTCAGGTCGTGGGTGGGCACTGCTGAGGAGTCCCACAATAGGACGAGGCGGACGTACAGTGCTTCCAGGTTTTCCATGATGGTCTAGCTTCAACTGACTCATGATTTCAACTATTGACATATTCAATTTAATGACTGATAATGGAGTCTTTATTATATATATATAATGTCTATATAAAAGCTAAATTGATATTAAATAAACAATCAATTGGCAATGCTGTATACTAACTAGTCGTCATTTGTTAAATCTATGCTTCCCCCCCCCCCCGAAAAATGAATATTTTTATAGATTCTAATTTAAATAACTTTATTATTAGTTGTATAAAGGATTTGTGGAGGTTGAATTCACGAGTCAATCTAAGCTATAAGGCCACCAAAAATCTGGATATACTGGATGATCATTTCGTCCTACTATGGGACTCTTCAGAAGTCCGCATCCACGATCCCGCACTCGGAACTCGAACCCGGGACTTTCGGTGTCGCACGTAAACGCTTAACCTCTAGATTACTGAGCCAACATCCAACGGTGTCAATGTCTAACTTCATTCAATTGATGATCTTGCACAACCCTTCAACAATTACTTAGTCAAAAAATATTTTACTTTGAATAGGTGCCATTAAATACTGATTTACATAATCAGTTACAAACAGAAATTATGAAATTTATCCCTATTGTTATATAAACATAATTGTGTGCATGTGTATTTGCGACAGGAATTTTTCCATATATTGACCTTTCACTATCGATCACTTAATAAATTCATCCTATGTTTGTCGATCCAGTCATTAGTGTCAATCAAATACAATCGACAAAGTTTAATAGATTTACAGTACTTGGAGTTAAACCAGACTACATTAACGAATACTTCGAAGCGTCAAAGCTGTTCGATATCCCAATGTATATATATATATATATATATATATTACAATTCTAATATATTCTGAAAACTTAACAAACTAAACATTTCAGTTGTTCCTTATCTATGGGAGATAAAACCCGACTCACACATCTTCGTCGTGCCTCCTGGATAGTGGAACTTGTCCCATGAACTAACGTGAGCGCTAAACTGGGTGGTACAGATCGTACTAATCAACCACTCAACCCACACATAAAAACAGCACAGCTTTAACTGCTAAAACAGCTATCCCGCCCCGGTAGTTGTGCCGTGATTCGATGTAGTCACTTCACAATTGATTGATCACTGGGTGGTGATCAATGTCATGCTTGTCTAGTCCTTATTATTGCAGATCGAATGCTATCGATCATGTTGCAATGTGGCCACCAGTCTAGGTGACTCGACACTGTGGGCACTATGTATTGAGATTAGATGGTGGTTGGAGGTAGTCAACAGGAAACCCTGGACCCGGATTTCGTGCTACTTGGCACTCTTCAGCAAGGGGTACCTGTAATCTTGAGGGAACTGGTGCTCCCTGGTGGATTCGATCTCGGGCCATCCAGCTTCACAGTCAGAGACGTTACCACTGAGCTATCTGAGCCGTGACTAACCTCCTGTAGGACTGAGATGTAATCACAATTGATTGATCACTGGGTGGTGATCAATGTCATGTAGTCACTTCTCCAAAAGGACTTACTAAGCTGCACCAAACTCATTTTCATCTTTATGTTTCATTTTATCTAACTTACTTGTTTAATCTTGTTGGCGTTTTTATAACAAGGCTTTTTTTTCTACAAGATGAGGTTGCCGAACCCATTCCAAACCCATCTCCTTTACCTGAGCTTGGGACCGATAGCAACTCTAGGGGAGCTAGA